TGCAGTGGGAGTTGTGAGCAGGTTCATGTCAAATCCAGGAAAAGATCATTGGGAGGGAGTAAAGTGGTTGTTACGCTACTTGAAAGGAACATCTGAGGTTGCCCTATGTTTCAGAAGAAAGGGTGTGATCTTAGAAGGTTTCGCCGATGCTGATTTGGGTGGATGTGTGGATTCAGGAAAGAGCACAACAGGTTATGTGTTCACAATTGGAGGTGCATCAATCAGTTGGATGTCCAGGTTACAAAAGAGTGTTGCTCTCTCAACCACAGAAGCAGAGTATATGGCTATTGCAGAAGCAGCCAAAGAGCTTATATGGTTGAAGAACTTTCTATCAGAACTTGGAATGTATCAGGAGGATTGTGTATTGCATTATGACAACCAGAGTGCAGTTTACTTGGCAAAGAATCCAGTGTTTCATAGTAGAACGAAACACATTCAGATGAGGCACCATTTCATTCGAGAATTAATTAATGATGGAACTCTAAATCTGAAGAAAATCCTTGGAACAAAGAATCCAGCAGATATGTTCACCAAGGTGGTTACCACTGAAAAGTTGAAGCTTTGTATGGCTTCAACTGGCCTTTCAGAAGTTTGAGAAAAAGGCATGGCAGAGAACGAGAGAGAGAGAGAGTGCTTAAGGAACGTTGCAAAGTTTTGGATGGCAGAGAAAAGCTAAGTTGTTCAAGCCTCCAAGTGGGAGATTGTTAAGATTTATGGAGTCATGAACAAATTGACAAGTTCCTAAGAGTTCAAGGGCCATAAATGAAACTTAACAATTAAACAATTGAATTCAATTGTTTAAAATTGAATGGACGGCAAAAACAATTGTTTAATAATTGTTGTATTGGACGGTGCGGCAAAATAATTGAATATTATTGGACGGTGGCTTTCTTTTGTTAAAGAAACAACTTTCGGCCGCAAATTGATACGTGTTCTTTTAAAAGTCAAACAAAGCGGCAATTTTGTGTGAATTGAAGGAAAATGGTTTACGACTCAAAGGCTATAAATAGGTCTCTTATTCTTTCAATTGTAGAAGGTGCAGCAGAGCAGCAACACAACTTAAGTTCTTGTATATACACAGAAAGAAATTAGTGAGGTATTATTTTTGTGCAGAGCCTTAATTTTTGGCAGCCAAAAAATTACGAGTGATATCTTACAGTGAGTGATCAGATTACAAGGGCAGATTTAGCCTTGTATGATTGTAATTTCTTTGGTGTTAATAAAATCCCCTCTCTCTCGTTCGCCCGTGGATGTAGGTCAGATTAGACCGAACCACGTTAAATATCGTGTTCAATTTCGTTTGCAATTTTTCAGTAGTTTTATTCCGCGAGTTTTGCCGAAATCGTTATATCAATTTTTTAGGAAGTGCTTAACTTGTTTTGTTGCATGCCCAACACAAGGAGGGGGAGAAAAGAAAAGGATTTGGGCCTTGAAGGGTAACCGAGAACACATTGGGCCCAAAATGGATTTTCGGCCCATTAAGGCCCAACGAAATGTTAAATAAAGATTTTCGGCCCATTAGGGCCCAATGAGGGGTTATAGGCCCAATAAGGAAGTATTGGTCCAATAAGGGTTTTGGGTTGAGAATTCTTGGGCTAAGGCCCAAAGATGATTGGATTTGGCTTATTGGATCGAGTTTTAGGGTCTTCACTTGGTTGTTTGGACTTGAATGACAATGTACGCAAGTATGATCTTAATATCATTGACGTTTGAATTTCACTAAATGAAATGTTACAAGATTACACAAAGAGTTTTTCTTGTACAAGGGCCAACTTCCTAACCCAAATTTGCTAGTTGTGACACGAAAGTCCTTGGTTTGCATGCGAAAGTTAGAAGGTGCGAACCTTGTCGAGTAGGAAACGAACCTCGCCGAGTAAATGCGAACCTGGTCGACCAAAAGCGAAAGGACTCGAGTACATGCGAACCTGCCCGGTTTAGGGCGAAACTGCCCGATTTTGCTTGTGAGAAGGTCAACTGCGAAACTTCCCGGCTAGACTACGAACCATCACTCAAAAACGAACTTGGCTTAAGAGGATGCGAAGGCATGCGAGGGTTCGCAGGTGAACAGTAACCTGCGAACCTTCAAGCCTCTTTTTGGCTTCTTTCTTCCGTTTTGAGCTGTTTTCGACCAAGGGAAGGTTCATGATGGTATGGATGTTCACATAAACATTGGAAAATGTGATTTTTATTACCAAGAGGTTTGAGAGAGATTGGGAGAGATTGACCTAAAGAAAGAGAGACTTTGCTAGTGTTTTGCCCCATAGTGTTAGGTTTGTAAACTCCACTATGCCTTGTTATGAGTGTTATACACCCCCGAAGGGTACGTAATAACGCTTTATAGAGTTGTTACATCACTCACCTTGTTTAGGGTTTAGAATTTCTGAACATTTGAAACTTCTGAGTGATACTTTGTCTTAGGATAGAGAGTTGTACATTAGTAAACATAGAGCAAGCCCTAACATACAAGCACTAGTTGAGTTGACCGGTTTGACCCGTTGACTTTGACTTGACCAGAAATTGACGGTTGTCACAAGATGAATATCATGTTATAAAACCAATGGGCCGGCCTTGGTGCATTCGAACCGTAAGTACAGTAAGGAAAACTCACCTTGCAGCTGAACAGAACCGATGAACCCTACTCCGAATCTCAGTTCTCTACACAATACCTATATCCACCAAGTGACCAATTCCATCAAAATTCCAAAATACCCAAAATTCCCTCAGAGTCAAACTTAGTCAAAGTCCAAGTCAACTGGTCAAACCCACTAAACCAACTAAGTCAACCCAGCCGAGTCAACTCAACAAGGGCTGACTCACGCGAGTACACATGGCGTAACCCAGAGGTACAATGAGTGTACGCAAAGCCTCGCATTGACCAACTTACGGGGTGGCTGACCGAGTATGCGGGGCATACTCCCACCTACGCGGGGCATACCCTTGCAAACCTCAAAACTTCATTAAGTGCTTAATGGCTTAAGCACTCAAGCCCATACTTCAGATATATGATCCAAATGCACCCTAGAGTCATAAAGTTTCCAACTTTATGACTTTACAGTCCAAAAAGTCCTTAATACAAGGTCTTAATCCATTGAGACCTTCCACATAATGCATGGAGCAATTCTAACCAAACAGACTTCATTTTTATGACTAAAGACCCATCCTAGGGTCTGAAATGACAACTCAAAACCTCCGGAACATGCCATGATCAAGATGGGACTTTTGGAACACAAAAGTAACATAAAACACCCAAAAATGAGATCTAGCAAACAAGCCATCAAGGTATGAACTTTATACCATGAGATGATGGAGAAAGGAGCAAAACTTCTAGATTCAAGCCTTGCTTCAAGCTTCTAAGCTTTGACACTGCCTTCTTCTTCTTATGAATCACTCACAAACTCGCACTCAACCTTCCAAGGGCTCAAGAGAGGCTAGGGTTGCAAGGAATATCGACTTCTGCTAATGGAGGCTAAAAAGTAGGGAATAAATGAGACTTAAGGATGCTTAAATACTTGTCAAACCCTAAGAATTAGGGTTTCCACTTTTAGGACGTACGTCCAACGTACCAAGATGTAAGCCCAACGTACCAAGATGTACGCCCAACGTACACCTTGTACGCTCAGCGTACTCCGAAGCCACATTTACCATAATGCCATTAAGGCCCCTTATACTTACAACTCTTGAACTTTAAGACTAAATGCAACATAATTAAGTTAAAGGACTAGAGATAGGATTACATAGACATCAGGATGTTACCCTCAGCGTACGCAGAGGTACATACAATGTACACACCGAAGTCACACTTTCCATATTAAGAGCTTAATACTTCAACTTATTACGTCCAAATGCAGATCCAATGCCAAAATACCACTAAGATTCATAAAGTTTCCAACTTTATGACTTTGTATGCCCAATAAGTGCTTAATACACAAAATCCCAACTTCTTAACACCTTAATACCATCTAGAGCATGCATGGGGAAGAACTAAGGATCAAGATCACATTTTTATGACTCAAGACCCCTCATTAGGTCTGAAAGGATAACTTATTCGATCAAGACTGCTCAAGAATCACCATGATTGGGACCAAAATGTTCATAACTTCAAGGCTAACAATATCTGAAACAAATCATCATCAAGTTCTGAATTTTTTTACCTTAAAATGATGCCAAATGTGAGGAGATTCTGGATCTAAGATTCCTCACACTTCCAAGGTAGTCTTCTCTTATTCTCCTTCCTTCTTAAGCACCAAAAGTACCCTCAAAAGCTCAAGAACACACTCAAGGTGGATTAGGGTTCTAGATGGACGAAATGGCAAGTGAAGACTGAAGAGTGAATGAGGAATGATGAGTTAATGATGTTTATATATAGACCAAACCCTAAAAGTTAGGGTTTGAGGATTTATCATGTACGCCCTACGTACGCGGTGTACACCCAACTTACTAGGGTCCGCCCTAGTATTCCCATCGTACTAACTCTGTGGCCAAAATCACCAAAATGCCACTATGGGTCATTCTTGCAATCTTTCTCAAGCACAAGGGTCAAAATGCAATATTCTTTCATACGTAGGGTTAAAATTGAAAATACCTCATCATCGGGATGTTACATTTTTTTTAAATAACAAAAAACTAATAAATGGTCACTGTAATAATGAAATGACAGAAATGCCGTTCACTTAATGGACATAACTTGACGGAGTTAACAATAAAGACGTTTTGTTAAATGTTTTGAAACCACATGGACCACTTGTAAAGTTTTTCAAAATTAAAGACGAAACTTCAAATTTTGTGAAACCAACGTAAACTATTTACGATATTTTGTCTATATATTATCACTTACATATCCATAAAGTTTGGATCAAGTCATTGTAAGTTCGAGCATAAATACTTATTTTTTTATATTGTAAAATATAAAATAGATTAAAAAACAGTTTTGTAAAAAAAACACCTATATAGTCTTATTGAGCGCCATATCAAGCATTTCAAAATATTTTATCTATTAAAGTGACAGCAGGTAGCACAAACAAAACCACAGACGGAAACACGTCAGTTTTTCATTCGTCCTTCACCAAAGTTTACGTGAACAGGCGGTATCCGTACAACTTCCACTCTCAAAGATTAAAAACAACGGATCGATTTAAGTGAAAAATTTCCAACTCGAAACAGTTTTTCCAGAAATCGGTGATGGAGAAGAGACTTCGTTCGTCACTGAAGTCATCGGCCGACGAATTCCTCTCGTCGGCGGCGAAATTAGGGTTTCAGTCAGTTAAAACATCTCTCAAAACCCTAATTTACTCACTAAAGCCATCATCTGATGTCGTTTCTTCACTTCCCCTTTCTCTTCACCAGTCCATTTCTCAATCCATTACTCGGTTTAAAGATCTGTCGGGAAAAGGTAACACAGGAGATGCATCTTCCCTCGGTGCTAGTTCACCTGTGACGCCGGCAAGTAAGCGTGTTCGTAGATCTTCACGGCAGCCGGAAAGCAACAGAACCGACGGAAAAGACGACGCTTCAGGTACAGTTGATGAAAAAACAAAACTTAACAAAGTCAAGAGTGAAGTAAGTGAAAATCTTCAGGTTTATGCTCACGTCGCTCACCTGTGTGTGACGCACCCGGGGAATGTGTTTTCTGCGTCTGATTTGTTACCCGCGGTTCAAGAATTGCATGATAATTTAGTTGTTTTCGAATTGGAATCCAATTTATTGTCGGAGATAGCGAGCTTATGTGAGGAGTGGTGGAAGAGGGAGTTGCCTGGTAGGGATTGCTTAATTACTCAATCCTTGCCGTTCTTAGTGTCAAAATCATTGACTCTGAAGAAGAAAGTGAATGTTCATAGAGTATACGCTCTTCGTGAAGCATTCACATTGTTCGATTTCGAGGATGAGAGTATAGAGGACTTGAAATTACTGCTCATCAGATGCTTGATATCCCCACTCTATTTGAAAATGGATGAAGGGCGGCGATTTTTAGCATTCTTATTTGGGTTATCTAGACAGCTTGTGAAGGAATCACTGGCAATGATTAGGTCTCAGATTCCTTTCGGGAGGAAGTCGATGTTGGAGGCATATGCTGACATTGTTTTTAGGGCTTGGAAGGCTGCGGAAGGGGAGTCAAGAGAGGAGATTGAGAACGACTTTTTGCAAGCATTGGTTGATAGCTCAATTCATGCTACTACAGGTTCTTTTGCTGCTTCTATCAGGAGAATCTTAGGAGGTTTTATCACCCAGCGAACTACTGATGGTGTTGAAAAGCTCATTTTCAATCTCACAGAGCCTGTTATATTCCGATCATTGCAGGTGCTTGTCTTTCTCCTTCACATTCATTCTCGAAATCTCGATTTTGTCCAAAATCTATATGATTAAATTGGCTAATGTTTCCTTGACAGGTTGCAAACTCAAATGTTCGTCAAAATGCATTGCACTTACTCATAGACGTCTTCCCTCTTGAAGATCCAGATCTTACAAGGGAAGCTAAAGACACATTGCTTCACAAACAATTTTTCTTAATAGAGAAATTAATCATGGATGATTGTCCTGATACAAGAGCTGTAGCAGTAGAAGGTATTTGTCGCATTCTTTATATGTTTTGGGAGATAATTCCATCTTCAACCATCACCAAACTACTCACCAAGCTACTTGATGACATGGCCCATGATATGGCCAACATGGTCAGGCTTTCAACTGTAAATGGTATCATCTATTTGCTTGGTAACCCTCAATCCCATGAGATTCTCAAAGTGCTTCTCCCAAGGTTAGGCCATTTGATTCTTGATTCATCTCTTTCAATACGCAGTGCTACTGTAGACCTCCTTCTTCTTTTAAAAGGCATTCACGATTTCCAGTTTCATAAAGTGGTGAATCTAGATGTTCTGTTATCGACACTTGCAAATGATCAACCACTTGTTGCTCAAAAAATCACTAAACTTCTCCTCCCTTCTTATTTCCCCACAACTGTAACCCTAGAAGAAGCATGTCAACGATGTGTGACACTCATAAAAAGATCACCACTTGCTGGAGCAAGATTTTGTGAATTCTCCTTTTCTGAAGGCGCATCTCCACAGTTTCTCAATACCCTTTTCAAAGTTCTCATCAATTTAATTCTCTCACCTCACAAGACCCCTCTAGATCAGATCGAAGGCATACTAATGGCTGCTAGCAACATCTGCAACAATCTAGCAACTGAACCAAAGTACAAATCTGCCCTTAAGGATGAATTAACTGGTAAAAAGCTAATCTCCTTATTATCCGCTGCAAAAACTGCTCATGCTCAAGCATCTGTGTTCAAGATTGTTCTCACTGTTCTTCCTGATGCTGCTTCTGTTCTTCGCCAAGAATCCATGGCTATGGTGACAAGATGTGTTGGATTATCTGAAAATAAAGAAAGACAAACACAAATGAGATTGATCCATAAAATGATGATGTCATGTGGTTGGATTGATGACATGATTCAAACTCTCACACGGGTTTTGCAAAAGACTGCAAATGGATGTGTTTCCAAACACAATTCTTCTTCTTCTTCGGGAAAGAAGAGAAAAGTCAAACATGGTTCAGTGAAAAGTAAGCACATGAGTGGGAAGAATCATCCGGATACTTCTAGAAGTAGTTTTTTTGAAGATTACACAGTTTGTGTAGGTGTAGCTTGGCAATTAAAGGATTTGTTGACAGATGTCAACACCCGAAAAGCTGTGTTGGAATCAAGAAATCTTGAATCTGCATTTCATGCTTTGAAGATCATATCAGAGTTTGTTATTGAATGTTTGCAGAGTAATCAAATAGATACTTCTCCTGTGTCTACTTACACATCACTCATTCTTCATATGTCTCTAAAAAATTCAACAGGAATATCTACAGAGGTAAACAAATCATTTTACTTTAAATTTTCTTTCATTTGAATATTTGATTTTAAATTTTTAATAAATAAATTATTCTGGTTGCAGACAATTGAACATCTACTCCAATGTACAGAAAAGTTGTACAAAACAAATGCTTCAAGAAAGTCATCTAAAGAAAATGGTAAGTATTTGGTTATTTCCTATTTATTATGATCTTTTTATCAGAGATTTTAATGAAAGATCTGTTGTAGGATCATCTTTTGAAGAAGAAAACAGAATCTCAAACATAGTAAAGCTCTCAACTTCCATTCTCAAGTTCATCAATGATTCAAACACACTAACTAACACCAACAACCACCAAGAAACATGTTTAAGGTTTACAAGACAATATCTAGGGTTCATAATCCTAAATTTAAGGAAACATTCACATGGGATTCTTGAGTTTAAAGAAGAAGATATAAAAGAAACGTTTTTATGTCTCAAAACCTCCTTCACTTATTCAGCGAAACTACTGAATTTAATTCTCACAACCTCTTCAGAATCCACTCAACTTTCAGTTGAAATCCAAAATCTTTCAAATGACATGTTTGATTTTGTTGTTTCAATGGAAGAACACATGGGCGGGAAATACGGATCGCTTCTTTTTTCAGTAGTGAAATCATGGCTACCGGATTTGATACTGTCATTCGGTTGTTCGCAACCACAGCCGCCACTATCGCCGCCATTGTGGGTGGTGGTTTTGGGTAAGATTGAGGTTTTTGAGGTGGATTTGGGTGATGAGAATGAGAAAGAGAAAGTTGTTTTGTCATCGAAGTTTTGTATGTTTAAGAAAGTGGTTGAAAGAATGGTGAAGCTTTTGAGGGGTAACAAGAGTGTGATGGATGTGGTTGGGGGGTTTTTGTTGAATTTGGAGTTTAAGGATTTTGGAATGTTGTTTGGGGTTTTGAATTTTGTTTGTGGGAAGATGGTGAAACATGAGAATGGGGAGTGGGGGGAGATGAAGATTATGTTGGAATGTGTTGGACGGATTTACCCTTGGATGGTGAGGATGTGTGAGGAGTGTGGAGATGAAGGTGAAAAGGAATGGGTGGAAAGAGGAAGGGTATTGTTGGAACCTATTTGGAGGTGTTATGTTGATGATGGGACTAATGAGCCTATGGAAACTGGTTTTGAAGACGTTAATGTGTAACTTTTTTTTTTTTTAATTTTTAATTATTATTATTTTTTTTTTTTTGTATCAAGTTGACTATTTATATAGACAAGAGACAACACTGATTTACTAATTCATTGAAGTTGGTTAAAATCTATATTTGTTCATCAGTCGTACATACATACATTTATTCAACTTGATTCAAGTTCAAAATGATAACTCAAATATTTGTTGTCAATTTAATTTGAAAATGAATCTATTTTTTGAAATGATAAATTGTATAAACGTATTGTAACAAGAAATGTATATGTATCCACATCCTTTATACTTTAATTCTTCCAAGTTGCCACAGTAAAGGGTAAGGGGTAAGTGGCCATGGTTGCTTTAATTTTTTTTAAGGTGGAAATGGGGAAGAGAGTCGAACAAATGTCTTTTTTGGTTTTTCCATACAAGACAACACATAAACCTATAGAGTACATGCTCATTTTATTAAATTTGCCTACTCAAACATTTAAATGTTACTAGAATTTTCTTTATGAAAATAACAGTCGATATAAATTGTGTCCATGTGAATTTTATGAATTGCACATCTGGATAACTACCACATTATCTATTCCTTATTTATTTGAAAATATATTGTAGCGTATGGTGTCATATGCACAATTGCACATGTTCATCACATAATGATACTCGAACTTCACCAATTATGTACATGTGCATTTTTAACTTTTTCTTTAATCTGTATCATCAAATCTTGTACTTCACCAACTACCATTACAAACTAATTCCCTGGTTCTCTCCAAAAACGAGGTTACTCTTGATCTCGCATCATACAAAAGTATATGCATTATTATCGATTGGAATTTAATAAATAAATAAACAAACATTACAATATAGTAAATCCAACATCAAAAGCAAAAGGAATTACACAACTAAACCAATCTTAAATACATAATCAAGAAACATCCATATCTACAAAACCAGACGAAAACATGAGAATGATTTCAGTTTTCCTTTTTTGAAAGTTTTTTTAGTCAGGTTAATAAAAGGCCATCACACTAAGATTAAACAAATTGGATGGTTTCTAACAATCTAAAAACATATCTTCAACTTAAACAGGGACCCTTTTCAGATACTTAGCAATCGGCATACTCAAAAAACCAGTAAAAACACTAAAAAACCATTGTTTGGCTGTTAATGGTGATGTATTCGCAAAGGTACCCAAACACTCGATAATTATCACCTGAAAAACCGCAGTTGCAGCAATCACACTCACGAAAACCTTATTCTTCCATATTCCATCCAACACGTCTTCTTTCTCCATTTCCCTCGAGTTAACCTCATTAAAAAGCTGCACAATGATATATATAAACTAGTTAGTTCCTTGTATATCAATTTACTTAACTCAAAAAAATTACAGAATGATAGTTACCTGACAGAAGACAAAAGAGTTGAAAATAAGTGTGTTGAGAACCAGATCAGAATCGGCCCCATTGAGCTCGAAAAACGATTTCCCTTTCGATTGAAGCATCCAAATGACTGCAAACTGGTACACAGCCTGCCCGAAGATGTTCCTCCACATCACATTGCTTATGAAATTCCCTTTTCTTCCAACCGGAGCTCTTTTCATTAGCTCATCATTTGGAGGCTCGGTTGCTAGCGCTAGTGCTCCCAATGTATCCATTATCATGTTCACCCACAATAGCTGTACAGCTGTCAGCGGTGCACTCCCTGAAAACATATTGTTAAACTTTTCGTCAATGAAATCGTTTCTACAAAAAGGTTTATTCATTCACTTGCCCACACTGTAACGTTTCAGAAACATCATGTGAGATGTAAATCCGGTACACAACAACCAGCTAGTTGGCTGACATAAGAGCCTAGCGCTTACAGGAAGCCTAATCCATATTAAAATTAAAACCCTCATACTGCAACTGCTCTGACTCGAACCTTGACCATTTTTACAAGTATAGTATATATGAAGCAACTGTGTGCTAACACAGTTGCTTCCACGGTGGCATACTTGCGAAAAAAATCAAGGTTTGAGTCTCAGCAGTTGCAGTACGAAAGTTTTAATTTCAATATGGATTAGGCTTCCTGTAGGCATTAGGCTAGTATGTCAGCCAACTAGCTGGTAGCTGATTTACATCTCACATGATGTTTTTGAAACGTTACTGTGTGGGCCAGTGAATGAATAACCTTTTTACAGAAACAAACAAAAGAATTGATGATTGAATTTTTACCTGTCAAACAAGCGGAAGTGAAGTTGACTATCAACGCGACAATATTGACCGTGAGTTGAAACTGAACAAACTTCTGAATGTTAACATAAACCGATCTCCCCCATTTTGCAACTGTAACAATCGTTGAAAAATTATCATCCAGAATGATGACATCAGCGCTCTCTTTCGCCACCTCAGTTCCAGCAATCCCCATAGCAAGTCCAATATCCGCCTCATGAAGAGCCGGAGCATCATTCGTCCCATCTCCAGTCACCGCCACCACCTCACCAAAAGTGGTCCGCAAATGCCTCACCAACGTATGCTTATCCAACGGTGAAGATCGCGCCATCACCTGAATCTTCGGAATCAAAACCATCAATTCCTCCAAACTTTTTTCTCGGAATTCCGGACCTTCAATCGCGATTCCGTCGTCCGTCAGAATCCCACATTCCCTAGCTATCGCCTTTGCGGTGTTGATATTGTCTCCGGTCACCATTCGAACGGTTATCCCAGCTGACCGACAGAGAGCCACCGACTCCTTCACCCCTGCCCTGACCGGATCTTTAATCCCCACGATTCCGATACAAGTATACCCGGAAGACGGAATCGGTGATTCCCCGGAATCACCACTTTCTAGGTCTATATACGCTAGACATAGTGTACGGAGAGCCTCGTCAGCAAATTCATCGATTTTTTTCTTTAATAAAGTAAGAGACTCTTCATCAAGATTTACAACTTCGCCATTTTCGTTAATCAGTTTATCACAATTCCCCAATACGATTTCGGAAGCACCTTTACAGTGTGCTCTAGCACCACCTCCGGGAAGCTCCACCACCACCCCCATCTGCTTCTTAGTGGAGTTAAACGGTTCGACCCGGATAATTTTCGCCACCTGGCGTTCCGTTTCGAAATCGCCGCCAATTGACAACCCGAATTCCAAAATCGCGGTGTCTGTTGGTGACCCGAGGATTTCCCGCTTCCCGTCTTTGTTGCTGACAACTTCTCCACCGGTGTTGGTGAAGATTGATTGCCGGAGAATGTTTAATGCGGTGGTCGGAATGTCGTTGGTGGAGGTTTTCATGCAAATGAATGATTTGACAACTGTCATGTGGTTGGTGGTGAGTGTTCCGGTTTTATCGCTGCAAATAGTGGTGGCGGACCCCATGGTTTCACAGGCGGCGAGGTTTCTGACAAGTGCTTTATCGTTCATCATCTTCTTCATGGCAAAAGCGAGACTTAGTGTTACAGCCAATGGGAGACCTTCGGGAACTGCGACGACAACAATGGTGACGGCGATTGCGAAGTATTCTAATAACATTAGGGCATCATCGCCGGACCAATTCCATTGAGTTCCTTCGATCAATTTGGTGGAGAAGAGTTTTTGAACTAGAACTGTAAACGTTACGATGGCGAAGAAAAGACCGATTTTTCCGATGATGGTGGCGACTCCATTTAATTTCACCTGTAATGGAGTTTCGTCGTTTCCGCCTTCGCTCAAAGTCGCCATTAATTTTCCCCATTGAGTTCTCATCCCGACTGTTGCGACTAGCATCTTACAGGAGCCATCTTGGACTTTGGTTCCCGACATTAAGAAAGGGTTCTCGGAGTTGACTTTCACCGGATTGCTCTCGCCGGTCAAACTTGATTCGTCGATGGAGACTGAAAATCCGGAGACGAAAACTCCGTCTGCCGGAACTTGGTCTCCGATGGCGAGATGGACGAGATCACCGGGAAGAAGCTCGTATATCGATAACTTTTGCCGATAACCGTTTCTAGTAACTTGAATCGATATCTTCTTCTTCTCTTTGTCCAAATCCCGGAACTGTAACGATTGACGATAATCGCTTGTTGCTGTCACGAACACAACCAGCAAAATACTCGCCACGATTCCGAGACCATCGTGGGAGCCTTTCGGCCACCCTTCGGTGGCTATGCCGACAATCAAAGAGACGATTGCACAAGCAGCGAGGACCATGAGAGTCATGTCTTGTAGGGCTTCCCATACGAACACCCAAAAGCTTCGTTGCTCACGTTCGGTGAATTCATTGGTACCGAAAAGTTCCTGTCTGCAGCTCAAATCTTTGTCGTCCATGGCGAGTCCATTGATGGTGCAGGTTTTAAGCTTCTTTGCAAGGCCATGTACTCCGCCGTGGAATTTGAGTTTTTCGGGGTTGTGGTTTTCAACTAGCGCGCCGGCTTCATCGGCGCTGATGTCGAAACCAGCTGCTTTGTATTCGTCCGGTAATGTATGGTCACTGGGTTCTGCGACTGAACAGATCACAAACAAATTCACAATGTTCGTAAGAATTGCATTATATGATGGAGGAAAGGAAGAAATTCATATACTGAGATTTAACAACTCACATTTCGCAAACTGAAATGCTGCCTTCGACACCAAAACCGCAACCCTTAACTTCTGTAATCATGAAAGGTAAAATCAGTAACTCTACTAAAACTGTTGCAGAACAGAGAAATCATAGCCTTAAGTGAACAGTTGTTCACCAAGTGTTTGATAAAATGTCCCAAAGAGTGAAAGAGATGGTTTGAAGTAAAATTGTTGACCTGATTGGTACGACGCATAGCAGCAGCCTCGTTGCGCTTGCTGAGGTTCGCCGTGAAACGAAACCGCCGTTTAGGGTTCTTCACAAGACCACACATATCCCTCCATCTCTGTAACACCTCCTCCGATGAATGCTTCGGCTTCACTCCACCAAAATTCTCATTCAGATAATTCTCCATCCCTCCCCCAAAATCCCACTATCACTAAACTGCTTCGCTCAATCAAAATCAAATCCCAAAATAATCAACAACGATTCT